CTGCTACTGCAGTTAGGAGAAAAAGTCAATAATGGTAGTAGTAATTACATGTTGATTTTATACTCAGGAATATCAAACAGAAACAATTTTATGTTAGATGAGAAAAGTAAATCAGGTATCTGCAATTCCCCAAACTACCATCTGAAAAGGTGACTACACTTACTTATACTACCCCCTCCCCCAAAAAACATATTAAATAATTTTGTCAGATAAGAAAACAGAAGGATAACACTTGGTCAAGACACTCAAAATGATGTTGTCAAAGTATATGTACTGCTATAAGAAATTTACAAGTGAAAAACATGTTCTAGATATAGTAGAGATGCATTTGTATATTTGTGACAAATTATCCATGTGTATAATGTGACAAAAGATTAAGAAAAGTTATATCCTAAAATATGAACTACAGTTACTCTGAAGGTAAGATTATGAATTATTTGTATTTTCTTCTTTTCTATCAGTATTTTGTGATTTCTTCGACAGTTTACTTTTTTACATTAAAAATAGAAGGTAAGGGCTGGGTTGAGACTCAATGATAGAGTGCTTTCTCAGCATACATAAGGCCCAAGTTCAGTCCCCATCACTAAAAACATCAAAAAAAAAAAAAAAGGAATAAAGGAAACATTTTTAAAATAATTTTAAAGTATTACTTAAGTTTCTACTTTCTCTTCTACTACTGAATTGGTGAATCTCAGAAAAAAGATCCCAGTAGTGACAATGACACCTGGTAGCACTGAAACATAGAATGCTCTTAAAAACAAGGCCTAGGAGAGGTGAAGGGAAAAGGGCCTATTTGCATTATCATAAGGCAATTTCTCCGTACCAGTTTTCCCCATTTATAAAATGGGATTCCTACTAGTTATTGAACTGAGTTCATTATTTATGTAAAGCACTTAGTGCCTGGCATTCAGCAAGGTATTATTTTATTATTTATTATCAACTTATTTTACAAGTGAGGACCCTAAAGCACTAAAATCAGTTAAATCATTCAAAAAGATATTGCTTTGGTTTTTGCTGTTGTTGTTTGCAGGTGGGGCTGGAGGAGAAAGAAAAGGGAGTAGAGGGAAGAAAGGGAAACAGACAGACACATATAAACTAGGCTGAAATCCTAAGTTGCTAGTGTGATAAAAGACAAATGGAAGTGCTCGATAAATATTTCCTTCCTTCCTTCCTTCCCCAACACATTTGCATTTCTTCCTGTATAGAAATAGGCCTGGTTTAGGGGTGAGGCTGCCGCTCAGTGGTAGCGTACTTGCCTGGCATGTGTGAGGCACTGGGTTCAATTCTCAGCACCACATGTAAATAAATTAAATAAAGGTCTATCAACAACTAAAATATATATATTTAAAAATTTCTTTAAAAAGAAAAAAAGAAGAAATAGACCTGGTTTACATTTATTCTCACCCCTAGATCACCTTTTTTAAAACTTCCACTTAAAAGTATTAATTTTAACTATATTCTGACCAAGTAGTATTCACTAAGAAAGCACACCTTGGTCTCTTCCATGTCAATCGTTTTTGTGGAATCCCATCATTCAGAAAAGGCAATGCCAGAAACAAAGAGAATACTTAATATACTTTCTGAATGATTGCTAAAAAATTACTTTTATCTTAAATTTCCCTATATTGTATATGCATAACATGTCAAGAGAGGAAAACTTTTTTAAGAGACTGGGTTCCAAATCAATGATTAGGTTAGCAATCTTAAATTGATCATTTTGTCTCTTTAGAAAAAAAAGGTAAATAGGCTATGCTACTGGTAGACCACATCTAACTTCAAAATTCTACAGCTTCTTGTACAAACTGGAAAATGGACAATTCACAGGCAATTTCATGCCTCAACTATGTTTTCTTTGACAGAAATGTCCCATTTCCCCTTGCTCTCTTAGAGAACTTATTCACCTTCCTCTAAATACCACCCATTTCTTCCATAAAACCTTTCTACAACCTAAACAGAACAAAATTGCTCCCAACACTTTGGGCCCCCTGATTATATTACACCAATATAGGTGATGACTTTGATATCTACTGTCTCTGTAGTCCCCACATCTTGCACAATGTCTGGCTTGCAGCAAATGCTGAGGATGTGTTTAAAGATTTAAATATACAAAGTTAAGTTAAATTCCTGTGATGTTTTTGTATCCACCATCTGGGATTTTAGCTTAATTTGAAGATATACAGAGGCCAATGTGCAGCAAAACCAAAGCTTTGCAGTGCACACACACATACGCAATGCAAACTTATCTTGAGCATTTGTACAAAAGCTATACAAAGGTATTAGTCTTGCAGATATCTGGGCACCCTTGAGAATTATTATCTTAAGCTACCGTAACTCCCTACCTTAAAACCTCTTCACCCTGCTAAACTCTATTTCGTAATCTTTATAATCTTCTTCCAACTATAATTACTAATGGTCACTTACCAGAATACAAGCTCCACTAAAACAGGAATTTTTGTCTGTCTTGTCACAATATCCAGTGTTGGCATCAGTACCTGACACAGTGAAAGCTTTTTTTTTTTTAAATCAATAATTCTCTTATCTTACAGCCTTCAAGAGTCATGACTCATCTCCTCTATAACCCTATCTCTCACTGACCTATCTCCTCTGCTCTAGCCACTTACTGTAGCCTTCCCAATAAGCTTCTAAGAACTGAAGGAAATTTTTTTTAATATTTATTTTTTAGTTGTAGTTGGACACAATACCTTTATTTCACTTATTTATTTTTATGTGGTGCTGAGGATCAAACCCATGGTCTCACACGTGGGAAGCAAGTGCTCTATGGCTGAGCCCCAACCCCAGCCCCCCTGAAGGAAAAATTTTGTACTTGACTCCTAAACTCAACTTTCTTTGCTATCTGTTGGTACAGAAATAATGTTCAGGAAACTATACCAAATAATAAACAAACAAACAAAACTTTGTTCTTTCACTTCCAATGAATTCACTTTGGATTTAAAACTACTGGTAGACAAAAGCAAAACTAAGAATAACATATTATGTTGTTTTATTTTTTATTGTCAAGCACATTCGCTAAATACATTGAAATTACATTAACTGCTACATGTGACCTGCCTAAAAATTTGTACCCCAAATAGTGCAAACCCTCTATGGTGTTATATATATATCAGTTATAGCAAGATTTTTTCTTTTTTTTTTTTTTTTAAAGACAGAGAGAGAGAGAATTTTTAATATCTATTTTTTAGTTTTCGGCGGACACAACATCTTTGTTTGTATGTGGTGCTGAGGATCGAACCCGGGCCGCACACATGCCAGGCGAGCGCGCCACCGCTTGAGCCACATCCCCAGCCCACAAGATTTTCTTAAGTAGCTAATATCTTTCAGGAGAAATTAACGAACCCAACACGTTTCTGAATCTATTCAATACCAAGTCATGTATATAAGTACAACATTATTGTATTTATATTCAGAAAATAGCACCACAACCTTCTCCATTCCCCAGTTTCAGCCAAATATGGCTCTTGCCTGCTTGGACAAATTTAGTTTATGAGTTCCCACAGGCAGCATACATGAACATTATCTACATTGCTATTTTGAATTCAGTTTTTAAATTTTTGAGAACAGAATATAGGCAATGTAAAATTACATTCAAGATGAGAATCTTCAAGCTGAGATGTCTGGATATACTGATTAGAATTAAAATACAAAACAAAGAATTAAAGTCATCCAGTACTCCGATCTAGCACTACCTCAATCTGACAAAATCAGAATCAACTTCTAGGATGAACCTCAGCTCACAAGTTCAAATGTATCAGGCAGAATAACGCAAAACAGGCCCCTTGTGCCTACTGGAAATAAGAGTAAGTCTGCTGGGCACTTAGCCTTCTATGGTAGCTCATTTTTGCTTAAACACCCTAAAACAGAATTAATTTTCTAAATGTAATCATATGAAAATAAGGGTGAATTAAGTACTTAGGATTCAGATACCAATGTAATGACTAAAAATTATGAGAGGTGAGGAAAAAAGAGTAACCTGAACAGAAAATATTCTTTAAAAGCTATTTTTGCCACAGCAGTAAAGGAGCGTATATGGTGGGTTTACAACTTCCAAGTTTTTTATTAGTTTTCTAAACACGTGGGTGAATCACAATAGTCTTCAAAGGATTTATTCTTCAGGGTATAACCCTCGATTTTCGAGGACCTGCCTCCATAACCATATCTGACCATCCCATCTTTCTGCTTCTCCCTCCCCACCCCCGATCCCCCATCCTCGCCCAAAACTCGTCTGGAATAAAAGATAAGTGATACAATGACCAGCACTAATGTAACGCTAAAACTGGCATTAACAAATGATGTGCAAAACAATACACTATTGGACCTAATCAACCCAGGGCACTCTTGAGGCCCTATTTGGTGGTTGCCTAAACGACAAAACCTGTACTAGTCAGGGAAGGAGGAGAGGTGCCTCAGGGAAACAAGGGGCTATTCCAGATGGCCTTCCCCACGTCCCCAAGCCGTCAGCCAGCAGGCTTGTTTCGGTGTTACCACCACAGGACTTGTCATCCAGACTTCCCACCCCTAAGATCTAAGAGAAAAGTTAAAAGGGTCCTGGTGAAGGGGAAAAGAACGATCCATCTTCTATGCTTGAGACCCAGAAAAGAGCCGTGGGCAGCAGAAACCGGGAGAGGCAACCCAGCATGCGTGGGACACCTGTCATGCGGGAAAGTAGGAGGCATCTAGGAAGAGCGTGCAAAGCAACCGAGGAATAAACAGCGAAGGCAGAGATTGGGATGACAGGGAAATCCGGACGCAGACACTGGGGAAAGAGGCTCCTTAGGGCAAGAGGGCCCGGCACGCCGGAGGCGGCGGAGTGGCGGCAGTAAGGCAGTCCCCGGAGCCCGGCTCGGCGGGAACGCCCGGGCCGGGCCGGGCAGCCGCTGGGCCAGGCGGACCCAACTCGGCTTGGCCGAGCGCGGGTGGCGGCTGGGGGCCCGCGGCCCAGGTCGCGCCGGAACAAAGCGGGCGCACAGGGCCTGGCTACTTACAACAAGAAGCTCATGTTGGCCGCGGCGTGAGCTTCGAGCTCGGCGGTCGCGAGGCCTCGCGGCGGTGGCGGCCTTAAAAAAGGGAAAAAAGAAGAAAAGAAAGAAAGGCGAGAGGAAGACGAGGAGAGAAAGAGAAGGGGAGTGTCGGCAGTTCGGCGGCCGCAACTTGCTCAGCTTTGCTAGTTCCTATGGCAGGCAGAGGGGGCGGAAGTGGGAAGCGCACGGCTTGAATCACTTAATGGGAGGGGAAGAAAAGGGAGGCGGGGAAAGGGCCTCCAGCCGGCTCCTCGGAGAACAGCGGCGGAGCAGCTGCCCAAGTCCTCCCCAGCCCCCAGCCGCCTCCACCCCGCGAGCTCTCGCGAGAGCGGCGGCGCCCACCTCCCCGCGGGAGCTGCCGCCTGCGGTCGCTCACCTTCTGGTCACCTTTACAACCCAGGCCGCTTTGCGGCCGCTGGGTTCTCCTGTCAGCTGGGTTAAGGGTCGGGGCACAATGCTCGGAGCCTCTCAGCTGCCCTTCAGCAGTCAGGGAGGAAGTGGGCTTCAACTCCAGGATGTCAGGGTCCTGTAGTGAGTGATGAGATACCACCAGAGATTTTTTTTCCAAAGTGAGTGCCCAACAAAAGACAAAAAGTAATGGAATTGCTTTTTCTGCTGGTGTTTAAAAATAGGAGGAAGTTTCGCCAGGTTGGAATGGTTTGGGTGTGGTCCTGCCAAAATAGAAGAAAGGGACTAAGTGGATTTTCAAGGTATCTGTTTTGTTTTGTTTTGTTTTTTTCTTTAGATATTGATGGACCTTTATTTTATTCATTTATTTATATGCAGTGCTGAGAATTGAACCCAGAGCCTCACACTTGCTAGGCAAGTGCTCTACTACTGAGCTACAACCCAGCCCAGGTATCTGTTATTTTTATAGGCACATTTTAAAACCCTGAACCAGAAGGAAATTAGGGTAACTCACTGACCAGGCAAGCTAGGCTGTCGTGAGCAGCTGGGGAAACTGAGTTAGCCAAGGAGAGCTGAAGCCAGTCCATCTTTAACTCCAGCCTGGTAGCCTAGTCATCAGTGGCCACACTGATTAATTTATGGAGCCCATTGTGATACACAAAACGTCCTAGAAGGTAGAAATGATTCAGTCGTACTTATAGAGGGACTTTCGTTCTCACATAGTTAAGGGGCCCAGAACAAGGGTTTATATTCTATTGGTATGATAAAGTTATGTTATTTTATTAAACAAAAAAATGTTGGAATCTACTTCTATTTCTGGAACAGCCTGCTATTCACTGGGATAGGAAGATTTATAGTCTCAAAATAAAACAGGAGGTCGAGCACGGTGGCACACACCTATAATCCCAGCAGCTTTTAAATAAAATACAAAATAAATTCGGGGATGTGGCTCAGTGGTCAAGTGCCCCTGAGTTCAAACCCCGGTACACCCCCACCTTCTCAAAAAATAGATGAAGCAAACGTCTGTTTCATAAATATTTCTTTTCCCAGAATAGAATCTAAATCCCATCAAGCCTCTAGATCCCATTTACCAATTTACAGGAAATACAGGGGACAAAAGAATGTAGTAAAGAACGTATTGCAATTATGCCTCTCGCATGCAATCAGCGAAATCTAAACTATAGGGATATTATACAGAACCTAATTCCTTCAACAAATAAATTGCAAAAAGAAAAATGGAGCTGAAAGAATAACTGTGTTATTCAGCTTTCCATTACTTTGACAATAACTGATAATCAACTAAAAAAGAAGTAAGGATTATTTTGACTCAGGATTTCAGAGGTTTCAGTCCAAGGTCACTTGGCTGGAATGCCTTTGGGTCTGTGGCAAATAGTACATCATAGGAAGCATGTGGTAGAGCACGATGCTTACCTCATGGCAGCCAGAAATCAAAGAGAGAGACAGGAAGAAACTGGAGTCCTATCATACCCTTCAAGAGCATGCTCCTGAAGACCTAACTCCCTCCCATTGGGCCTCCTGAAGGTTCCACCACCTCCCAGTAGTACCAAGCTGAGGGCCAAGCCTTTAACATGTGGGCCTTTGGGAGATATTCCAGATCCAAACTATAGCAGAAACTTAGAGATCAAAAGAAATGTAAGGAAAAAAAAATCAGCAAATTGATACATGTAGACTCATTTGCATCCTGATTCAAATAAGCAATGTGAAAAACAACATTAACAAATGTTTGTCATTTATGAGATGTTTGAAATGTGGACACTGACTGGATATTTTTGTGGTAATGATGCTGTAGTTATGATTTTTGAGTCCTTGTCTTTTAGAAATATGTACTGAAATATTTACTGATGAAGTAAAATGGCAAGAATTTACTACAGAATAATATGAAATGGGAAAATGAGAGTATAGATGAAATAAGATGGGTTGATAACTGTTGAAGGCAAATAATCAGTAATTGGCATCATTATGTGATGTTGTATACTTTTGTTTAGTTTTTAAATTTTCAAAAAGAAAAACAATAGGCCCTTTTCTGGGGGAAAAAAAAGTTTGTTAATGATTGGAAATTTAAAATGTGTTGAAAATGAAGAAAAATTTTTATACACTAGACTTTCTTTGCTCTCATGTTACTCAGCTTTTTTTCTGTTTATAGGTAAAGATAGTCATTCACCCATAGAACTAAAAGCAGCCAGGCCTGGTGGCGCACACCTGAGGCAGGAGGATTGCAAGTTTGAGGCCTCTGCAACTCAGCAAAACCCTGTCTCAAAAAATATTTTTAAAAGTGGGCAGGGGCTGGATGCGGTTGCGCAGCGTGAGATCCCAGCAGCTGGGAAAGCTGAGGCAGGAGGAGGTTCAAAGCCAGCTTCAGTAAAAGTAAGGTGCTAAGCAACTCAGCGAAACTCTTCTCTAAATAAAATACAAAAGCGGGCTGGAGAAGTGGCTCAGTATTTGAGTGCCCCTAAATTCAATCCCCAGTACCTCCCTTCCCTGCAAAAACATGGGCAGGGTGGAGTCTAGGGATGTAGCTCAGAGGCAGAGTACCCATGGATAACCAAATAAATAAATAAATAAACAAAAAGTAAATACTATTAATGTCAGAGGGAAGAAATTCTCATTCCAATCCTGCAAATAAATCCACCTCAGAAGTTCTTGAGAAGCTGTTCTCTTCTGATTTGGAAATGTGATCTGACCCTGGTAGAACAGACACCTGACAACAATACTAGAAAAGTTATACCTGGGTAGCAAATCCTGGGTAACCTGATGAAATGCATTATACTGTACAGGAATGTTTTGATTGCATAATTTAGATTGATGTGGTAATTATTTCATCTGAGTTCATTACATAAGACTGTTTTTTTCCAGCTACCATTTATGGACTATTTCTATGGGCCAATAACCTTTAGAACTTGTATATTTTGTCTCAATTTTTTATTTCTTATATTATCCTATGAGGTTGATATTAGGTGTTGTTTTGCCTGTTTTATAGATAAGGAAAGTGGTGCTGAGAGATTATATAACTTGTTCAAGATAAATAAAGTTACTAATAAGTACAATCTGAATTTAGTGAACACCATTTCCCTTCTGTCTCCCTATTATATATTATAATGAATGTATTCGAAATGATTTTTGGAATGCTACCCAATCTCACTTCATATAAATAAGAAATTCAACCTGATCCCTATCAATGCTGTTTAGATTTAATTCTATATCTTGTTTCATCAAAGACAAACCAATGTCAATTAAAAATGCTTCTCAAACTGGGCACAGTGGTACATACCTGTAATCCTAGCTACTAGGGAGAATGAAGCAGGAGAATCACAAGTTTGAGGCCAACCTGGGCAACTTAAGCAAGACTCTGTCTCAAAATAAAATTTTAAAAAGGGCTGGGAATGTAGCTCTGTGCAGGGATTCTTGGGTTCAATTCTTAGGACAGGAGAAGGGGAGTATACTTCTCAAGGATGGATTGATCGGAAAATAATGAAATCACAAAAGTTTGGTTCATCCAACCTAGATGCCCTTCAATAGATGAATGGATAAAAAAAATGTGGCATTTATACACAATGGAGTATTACTCTGCATTAAAAAATGACAAAATCGTAGAATTTACAGGGAAATGGATGGCATTAGAGCAGATTATGCTAAGTGAAGCTAGCCAATCCCTAAAAAACAAATGCCAAATGTCTTCTTTGATATAAGGAGAGTAACTAAGAACAGAGTAGGGTCGAAGAGCATGAGAAGAAGATTAACATTAAACAGGGATGAGAGGTGGGAGGGAAAGGGAAAGAGAAGGGAAATTGCATGGAAATGGAAGGAGACCCTCAGAGTTATACAAAAGTACATACAAGAGGAAGTGAGGGGAAAGGGAAAAATAATACAAGGGGGACAAATGAATGTCAGTAGAGGGGGCAGAGAGAGAAGAGGGGAGGGGAGGGGAGGGGAGGGGGGATAGTAGAGGATAGGAAAGGCAGCAGAACACAACAGACCCTAGTATGGCAATATGTAAATCAATGGATGTGTAACTGATGTGATTCTGCAATCTGTATATGGGGTAAAAATGGGAGCTCATAACCCACTTGAATCAAAGTGTGAAATATGATATATCAAGAACTATGTAATGTTTTGAACAGCCAACAATAAAAAATTTAAAAAAATAAATAAATAAATAAATAAAAATGAAAAAAAAAAAAGTTTGGTTCATGAAACTTGGTCTATCAGTGCATTACTTTGTCACTAAAACCCATAAACCATCAAAACAAAAAAACTTCTTAAAGTAATTCTTTGTTTAAAATGGAAGAAAGAATCTTCCATTGACCTCAAAGCTAACGGAATACCCTCTCCATTCTAGCTATTTGTTCTTTGAAGATGGGTTTTGTGCAATAGAATGGCTAGATTTTAGGGAATGATAAAGACACAAACCATTTGTTTATCCACTCAATGTGCATTTGTTGAGTGTTTACTAGTGAAAAAAAATGGGGACTTGGATGTGGGGGGCATAGTCCTTGTCTCATAAATCCTATGTATATCATTGGGAAATACAGATAATCAAATAAATAAAAGCAAAATTCGAAATTGTCTAAGTATCACTGAGGAAAAGGTCCATGTTGTATGTTAGTATATATTATAGGGACTTCACCTATTTTGGGGATAAGAATAGCATAGACATTGATTTTTTTTTTTTTTGGTGGGGGGAGCCACACTTTAAGAACTCTTTAGAAAGTTCTACTTTCTGTATAATTGTGAGGATCTTAGTCCATAGGGCAAAAATTATAAAAGGCTTCTTGCATGGACCTTGCACTTATTCACTAAATATTGAATTACATTTTTTGATCTTTCAAGTTTTATATT